TGCCCCTTCTGCTTGAGGCCAATGGCAAAGCTGTGGCTAAATTTGGGGAGGGAGAGCATGGTGCTGCAGCCCCAGGCTGTCTCAGCAGCCCTGGCCCTCCTTGGTGGGGTTGTGCCCCTTTCTCTCCTGCAAACCCAACAGCAAGGCATCTCTGCCTTCCCTGAGCACCTCAGCTCATAGCAAAAGTGGCCTGGAGTCTTGGGGGTTTGTCTGCTTGAGTTTGCTACTGGGACCTAAAAATAGGAAGTGGGAAATTCAGTTGCATTCAGATGAAAAGTATTATTTTACCCAGAATGAAATGTTTAGGTTTAGAGTTGAGTGTTTCTTTTCCAAGTTGAGTTAAAATTACAAATGAAACAAACATGAAAAATTGAAGTATCTGTGCCAATGCATTTCAACAGCCTTTAACACATCAGGAGTTGCCTTTGTCTCCCTGGCCAGTGGCTGGTGGTATTGTCTTCATCCTGCCCTTCCTCCTCTGCCTTCAAGCCCCAGCAGTGGGAGCCTTGTGAATGCACTGAAGTCTTGTGTTTAGTTTTTAAAGGCTTCTGTGTTTGACTGCAGGGAAACACCAAATTCAAAAGCAGAGATGCAAAATGTAATTTGGCGAATTAATCCCTTCCCCCCCCCCCCACCCTGCGTGCCCTAAACTGATGTCTGGACTGCTGCAAGGGGGATGGGGAGGAACTGGGTGGTGGTGATAACAACTGGTTGCTTCTCTGTTCTTTTCCTGGCCTGAGGAGCTTATTTATGCTCTGGCTTTCAGTCTTCTCATTGCTCATCTAACAGGGGAAATAAATGAAGTGACTTGCTCTCATTATAGTGGGGAGTATAAGACCTGCCAGCAAACTACTTCATGCTTTCTGCCACGGTCTAAGAATAGCTTCAGATCTCTTACCACACCAAACTTCACTTGCGTATCAGCGAAGCTGAAACAACTACAGAGGGACAGAGACACCTATAAAAGGAATAAGTACCTGGTTTATGTTGTCCCATGTTAGTGTAAAATACTACGATCAACTGCGTTTGGAATACTTGACCTGGTTATAATCTGTTGCAAACAAATTATGTAATTAATAATGTACCAGTGCCGGTGTTACTTTAAACCCTAACTGGATTATACTGCACAAGTGTATTTGAGAGTAAAAGGACGCAATGGTCAACAAATCCAGCTGACCAACAAAACACATGCCTGGCACTTATTTCCACCAGAGATCTCCACTGAATAATTATTAGGTCATGGTTGTAATAGGGAAATGTGTATTTTTAAGTGTTAAGTAATGTGTGTGAAGTGTCCAATGTGTTTAAAACTAAAGTGTGTTCCCTCTGGGCTGCAGAGGAAATCTGGCCCCATCAGTCAGTGGTGGAAAAAAAAAAACTTCTTCTGGCTCTGTTAGGGCTGAGATTTTGCCTTCAGTTTTCAGACTCTGATTGCTGGAGCTTAAAGTATGTCTTTCTACACTGGAATAGGTAATCTTACTGGCCAAAACACTTGAAAATCCATTGTGTGTGTCTGTACCTTTTGCACAGAGCTAAACTGGGGCAATAGTGTGGTTGGAGACCACAGTCTTTTCTGTACTTCGAGGGGATGCTTCTGCAGAGGAGTGTACCTCTAAACTTTGTCTATTCAGCAGTCATGGAAAGTGTAGCATTTCCTCCCAGATGATGGCATCTGAGAGTTCAGAGTACTGGCTTGCACAGTGCCTGTCACGTTTTAACTGTCCTTGGGGGGAAGAGAGCGGTGACACTGCCTTGGAAAGAGAGGAACAGGAAGATTTTTTTTTTTAAGCTCTCCAGCTTCTCGTACCCTTGGAAACCAAACTTAAGAGTCAAGAAGCAAACTGTTACAATAAGCAAATATCTCTGATGCTTGTAGAGAAAAATCTGGCTCCAGCTCTGTTTAAACTGGGGGGGGGGGACACACACATACACACGTCCCCTGCAATGTTCCTGGTAGGTAGACATTGGGTTATAATTAGCTGAATGCCTCATGTGCTGCACTTGCCCTTACCCTGTTGGAGGTGAGACG